ACCAATGCCAGTTCTCCCTCAACTCCCCCCAACCTGTCATAAGTAATAATAGTAATAACAATGAAAGAATGAACCAGAACCAATGCACAAATCCTCCCCTTACTGCCAGCCACTCAAGTGGTCCACCATAGCCGTTGCACACCTCCTTCTCCTACTTCGTCTAGCCGGTGGCTATGGCGAATTATTGGAGTGGACCTCTGATGTTTAACGGACAATGCAATGCTTCTTTGCCCCTCCTTGTATGGCCGCCATGCTACTACCACCCCTGGAGAGTCTTCCTTCAAAATATCACCCACTTGGGGCCTTCCAGGTGCAGCGCCAACCAAGAAGAAGGAGATGCGGACCACAATAGCCAGGTGAGCCCCTCCTATCACTCTCCTCCAGGCCCGTCTTCTTCCTCCTCCTACTACTCCCCCGGACGCTCCTCCTTGATCCTCTTCACCATAGCCAAGGTGGAGGGCTCAGCCTGCCTCTTCCTCACCAAGCGCTGCTTCAGCAAGGTGGTCGCTCCAGTAGCGTGCCTCCAAGCTGCACGCCCATAAATGAGGCGGAGCACTTCGCTTCGTGGTCTGATATACTGCTGAAGTGCCTCCTCATGCGGTCGCATCAAGACTGCCCAGCCTCCAAGTCTACGTGGTACCTCCCCCATTTTCGGAGGGAAACGTCATTGCAGTCTGATATTCCCTCCTGCAGGTACTAGACTCAAGCTACTTGGACCAGTAGCTTTTTCTCTAAGCCTACTGGACTCTAAATTCTACCCCGGCCTCCCAAGGTACTAATTTTTTTTTCTTCTGCCTACCTATCCGCTAGTTGAGTGTTCCTGCCATCCTGGCCTTCGCAGGCCTTCCCTACTCTACCACCCTGCTGCACCCACACAACAACATGGCCACAGGTTAGTACCAGGCCCATGGGCCTTCCAACACTCAAGTACCCCAGCAGGTAACACACACACACCCATGCAATCATGCAGACAGGCAAACACACGGAAACTCAGCAATCACACACGCACACAAACTTAGAAATCTCAGCAGAATACAGGAACTCAGCAAGTCACTCGAACGTGGCAAAACTCAGAAAACAACAAGTTTCTCAGTCTGCGATTTTGCAGGTCATTACAACTGTCTGTTTGTTTTTAGTCTGCGATTTTGCAGGTCATTACAACTGCCTATGAGCACCTTTGAGATGTGCCAAATAGTCAGTGCCTGTTAGTACAGAGTGCCTGCGACATTATTGGGGGGTTGTCATGTTCAGGATGTGTGTGTCTCTGTGTTTCCTGGTGGTGACAAAGATTCTTGTGGCTCCCTGGCTCTAGGTGGTGGCGTTAACTTTTACAGTGAGCATTGTTCTCCATACGATGTGAGTAGGTGATAGCTCAGTGACACTTCAATCCTTTCTGCGTTCTTGGATCTCCATGTTGCAGCTGCCGCGTTGTTGCTCCTTTTGCTGCCTTCCTTGGTGTCTTGCTGGATTGCCTTGCTGTTTGCCTGCCACTCTGCCTACCTGCCCAACTGGTTGCTTTGCTATTTGCCGACATGGTGCGTACCATGTGGTGTGGCATTTGTGCGGCTGTGTGATCACCCAATTGCTTGCCTAGCGGCTTGCCTCCTTTGTGTTACAACAACTCTAAACACACGCAGTCATTCACAATTCCGAAGGCGCGAAGCATATGTTGCATACGGCATATCATGCTGCATGTCTTGCTGCATTGCTGTGTTGTTGTGTGTGCACCCTCCCACCTGCTTTGCGTTGCTATATGTCGCCTGTTCATGCTGCACTGCATGCTTTGCTGTGGCTGCCCACTTGCAACAGGGTTTGAACCAGGTTATGGCTCAACACATCAGGAGGGGATTCAGCAGAATCAGCAGACTGCCAAGGGTTCAGCCTCCTGATGTTGGGCAAGTCTGAGGAAACAATCTGTCATTATCCATGTTGTTTTCTGTACTACATTTTTTTGGGTCTTTTACTAGGTAGTGTCTTTTTTCATGTCTTCCACCCTTCCTACATTTGTTTTGTCCGCTGAAGAGGTTTGTCACTTTGGGGAGAATTGTCTTCAAGTCTTTGTGCATGGTTTTGTCCTGAGAGGTGGCCGGTCGTTTGAAGTACAAGTGTGCTGCACCGAAGTTATCAGTAATTTGTTTTCACTCACATCATCAAACACACGCGGGTTTTATGGCTGTGACAGACCGGCTTGGCATACTAACTGCCATTCTTGTCAGTGGGTTGGACTGACAGTCTGCTAGGACTGCACTGTTAGTGTGGATTAAAGTCGAGCACTTTTCTCAGGGGTATTGCTAACTCCAGGTGACGTGGTGAATGATACAGTCTGCCTCTGAGGAACAGTGCTCGACTTTGTGGTTCAAGCTCTTGCCATGTATGTTAAGATTGCCGGGTTTACCCACACCTCAGGGTTGTTGGGTTCCGGACCAGCTTGGCATGTCTGCTAAGATTGCCGTGGTTCAATCTCGTGACGAGTCGGTGAAAGTTACGTGAAACATCAATGGAACAGTCTGGAATAGTCATGCTTTTTTGTGGAGTTGTGTAGAATGAACATGACAACACACTCAAACACACGACTCCAAGTTTCCAACCCTTTTTAAGGCATCTTACTGCACTATGGTGGCCCTTAATACCCCCCTTATGTCGTAAGTCTGCCTGTTGCTGTTAATGGGAGCAGCACTGGCTGGAAAACGGCTGCAGCGTTCCACTCGAAAACATGAAACGAAATACAATGGTTGTGCAGAATTGATTGTTTCTTTCAGAGACAATGTTTGTGCAGCATTGATTTCTTCTTCCATTACTGTAACAGAGGAATGAACTGCCTGCATACTGAAATGGAGTAGGTACAGGCCTCTTCAGCCCCTGAGAAAGTCGTCATATCAAGCATGTGTCCAAGCATGTGTCCATCCTCCGCTTGCTGAGGCCCCGCCGTTCTAGACAGGTGCTCACTGCTCTTGTCAGGATGACCTATTCCTCCGCATCTCATTCCTGAAAGCCATCAGTACATCTAACCTGGACTCTTCTTCTCCTCCTGTCTGATCGGCCTTGCCTCTTAGTGTACTTCATCATCCATGTTCAAGTTCCTCTGCCACTTCCAGTCCTTCAATGAATCAGATATGCTCTCTGCCTGGTCCCACTTTGGGCCGCGAGTCATTTCCTTTATCGACCCCTCCATGTTAGTCATGTGGGTGGTATGGTCTCCATTGTACCGCCAAATGCCTTTCTTAGTGGCCGTGGTACAGGATGATGGCTGCGTGTAGTCCGGGCCATGGCATATGAAGTCGGCCTCCTCTCAAAAGATCCACCCTGCTATGACGTGGCGCCACGGTCCAGTCCTCCCATTGCAGTTTCAGTTGTGGGAGGAAACTTGCAGAGGGTACCCAAAGGATGCACAGGTTTTTGAGGAGCCAGGATGAGAAGGTACCCTTTCCGAACCACCTGTTGCTGAAGTCTGTGATCAGGGCATCCCTTTCTATAAGGTTTAGGGTTTAGGGTATTCTTTTTGTACTTAGGGTTTAGGGTTTAGGGTTTAGGGTTTAGGTTTTTTTGTTTTTTTTTACTTTTTATGGAAAAAAACTAAGCTATATTCTTCTCTCAAATATACCTCACACTACCTAACCTCATGCCTACCTCTATCTAAGTCCAATCGAACTTTAAGCGCAGCAATCCACATCCATGCACCAAAGCTGGGCACTCCTCAGACATCCGGACGTTACTAGCAAGCTCTACTCTGTGCGGGGAGTAGTGCCCTGGATCCTAACCCCTGGTGATGGGTGGGAGGGGGAAGGAATACCCCTACAGCCTCCTGCGACGTGCCGCTTTTTCACCAGCTGAGATGGTTGGCTTGCCCCCTCTGGTTCGTCAGGGTTTAGGGTATTCTTACTATTCTATTATTTTGATACGTCTTCCATAATGATTCTGACATTGTTGTCCTTTAAACCTGTTTCATCTATTCTTTCCGCTTCTTGGGTTGAGGTTTGGATATTTAATTTCATTCTTGGACACCTGTGCAAGGAAAATGAACAGAAGCGAGATGACAATATTCAGATTGGACAATCACATTGAAAGCCAAATCGTAACACAGTGTTCGGGAAGCAGCATTGCACCAATATAACACCAATGGAGAATCGTAGCACTGAATGTCAATGTCAATGAGAGC